ATATACAAATATACATATATATATATATATATATATATATATATATATATATATATATATATATATATATATATATATATATATATATATAATATATATATATAATACACATATATATATATATATATATATATATATATATATATATATATATATATATATATATATATATATATATATATTTGTGTGTGCGTAGAAGCATAATTTTATGTTTATGTATAAGTATAAGTATAAGTATAAGTATAAGTATAAGTATAAGTATAAGTATAAGTATAAGTATATGTATACGTATATGTTTGTTATATGAAGTTGTTGGATGGTATCAAGCGAATCTTGGATAAAACTTGTACGAGACCTAGCTACTTCACGTACAACGGTATCTCATTCGCTGGAAATCACTGCTAGATAGTTAACTCATAGATTATTTAATGCCTCGACATATCATTGTGGCTCGTTACACGTAGAATCGATGCCACAGTTTGACACTCTGATAGTCGGGTTGTGTATTGTTAGTTGCGTAGGATGGGCATGTCACGCTATTTCACAAGGGCCTATTTGGTACCGTCAGGAATCACTTGTCCCGAAAAAAAAAAAAAACGGAACCAGTGCACAGTCCAGCTACACGTTCAGATTTCGGATTTCGGATTCAACCCTGTTTAAAACGGATGGCACCTAATCCGCCAGATCTGTACGCCTTCAGAAAAAAGCCCCTAATCGCGAATGATTGATCGACCTAGAATTGGGTCGTTAAGCCCATTAGTGGGGCCCTTGTTCTCAGGTGAAGTGGCGGCGGTTAAACCCGGTTGGCAACCATCCTGACCGGAGAAGAAGCCAGCCTCGACACTTAACCGCCCATCTCATAGCGGCATTTGGGATGCCCTACCATAAGAATCAGTCCTGCTGGCTGAATGCGTTGGCCTGGAGATAGGGTAGTGTTGATCGATACTGTGGCACAGTAGGGTTACCAATTCGATGTCCAGATATGTACCTACACCTTATAACTATGGGGCACAATGGCTTGATACCATTCTCTCACCCAGAACCCTGATTGGAGCAGGGAAGATCCGTCGCAACAAGCACGGACTGCAAAACAAAGGGCACACTAGCTGCCTTCGCTTTATCAGCAACTATCTCGAATCCGCAACCAAGACCAACACCCTGACTCAAAGCATCAGACATCGACAACTCCGTTGGTACAGAGTACAGCGTGGTTATGCACCTGAAGCAGCTCAAGTGAGTGATCAGCAACGGCCAAGCAGAAAGGAAGAGTTTCTAGACATGGTAATTGGTGGTCAGACACAGAGACAATGCGCCCCGATTCAGTTATTTGGGTCCAAGGCCTCATAACGGGACATTCTCATACAAGAATAGAGCACCTATAGACAGGCGAGGGTGGTCCTGCGAGGAGGAGGAGTGGTGTGCCTAGGCGGGTGCAGCTTTCGCATATACATCATGACGACGGGCACTGTACAGACATACTGACGTCGCACAGAAGTATTGTGTCATGCAACGTCTGCATGTACGTCTCGAAGTGTTTCCTTTTCATAAGTGATGTTCGTCCTACACGTACCACTCCCTGCCTTAGCGTGTTGCCATGGGCACCAGGGGTTGCCTGGCTACAGCGAATTCAAGAACCACCGTGAGATGATGGCCACACACGCGAAAATCGAAGCTCCGGCTACCAACGCGTACGTGTTCTCTTTCTCTCGTATCTCCTGGGGAAAGAAACAGGGTTTATGGGGTAGGGATAAGGATGCAGGGTTTGAGGGATAGGGTTAAGGATGTAGGGTTTAAAGCATGGCTTATGTATACGTTGCAGACTACAACAAACAGTTGGAACAAGTGGACGACATGCTATGCCCTATATAAGTTGTCGTGTGTCATACAATACAGGGACTATACTACAACACTCGATGATGGCAAAGTTTGGGAATCTGAGCACAAACAACAACACCCAATTAACAATTGGAACAAGGGACGACATGCTATGTTTTTTACAAGTTGGCGTGTGATATACAGAGGCTAAAAAACAACACTTGGGAATGACAAAGCTTAAGAATCTAGTCAAAAAGAACGACACTCAATTCCGGACGCAGCACAGAATTAACGGTACATAGCTCGATTGGCTCGATACATTGCACGCGCTTTGTGAAAGTACAAACGTGGTGTGTACGCCACCCAACACATCGCACAGGTAGCGAGCGATGGCCCGCCCCATAACAAATGAGCATAAGGCGAATGTGAAAGTATAACGCGAATGTGCAACTAACAAATGAGCATAACGCGAATGTGCAACTAACAAATGAGCATAACGCGAATGTGCAACTAACAAATGAGAATAACGCGATGCGTGCCACACTCACAGCGCCATGTGCAAAAGACGTGCGCATACCTTTTCCGAATCCACTTGCTTCTGCAGTCTGTGCAGCCTCTGTAGGGCGGGGGAGGACAATAAGAGGTGAAATGTACGCAACCCAAACGTTATGTAGTCAGGGGTTTGGGGGGTTTGGGGTTTAGTACCGAGGAATACGCGCAGGTAGCCAATCCGTGGCACGTCTTGTTCGAGTAAACGTAGGGAATATTTGATAACAAAAGTTCAAGGTAGAACCGGCTCACAGGGACATCACAACAATCACAGACACACTCACACGTGTGCCAGGTACGTACGACACACACACATTTGGTATTCAACGACGGGAATCGAACAAACCACAACTGCATTTATAGATGCTCTTGATCATGCAGATAACAACTAAGGAAAGGCATGAGCACGTGCGTAGCATGAACAGAGGCAACGAACCACAACCGCATTTATAGATGCTCTTGATCATGCAGATAACAACTAAGGAAAGGAATGAGCACGTGCGTCATGAACAGAGGCAACGAACCAATCGAATGAACCACAACTACATTTATAGATACTCTTGATCATGCAGATAACAACTGAGGAAAGGCATGAGCACGTGCGTAGCATGAACAGAGGCAACGAACCACAACCGCATTTATAGATGCTCTTGATCATAACAACTGAGGAAAGGCATGAGCACGTGCGTAGCATAAACAGAGGTAACGAACCAATACACGTAGCTGCTGAAGAGAATCACTCTGACGCAGGAACTGACTCGTACCTGCACACTCTCGCGCACACCCGGGGGTCCGATTGGGTCTGCAAATGACATTTATGCGAAAACGTATTAAGAGTTAAACAGACAGACCATAACTATTTATAGCCACATGTAGGTAAAGGAGAGCCAATAACACGTCAGTACGGGTAGATTGCGGAAGACCATAGGACTCGTTGGAGCCGAATAAATGGAATGACCAACCGGACAGATCAAACTACTTAACGGTAGTCCCCAAAAGCGGTATATACGTACGAAGTAGAGCTGATATTGAGTATATTCAGCACATGGTAGGCATCGCTTCTTCGTCTCAATCTACATATATGCAAGTAAACAAATATACACAAAAAACAAAACAAAACACAAATACACTTACTATATATATATATATATATAAATGAATATATATATATATATATATATATATATATATATATATATATATATATATATATATATATATATATATA